CCCCAGGACCCTGGCCCGCGAGGAGCTGCGCCTGCAGGTGGGCACCCTGCGCTTCGACCTCAACACGCTGGCCAGCCTCAAGGGCAAGGAGGAGAAGAAGAAGGCCCTCGAGCTGCGCCAGGAGTTCCTCAGCGCGGTGGGTGCCCCTGCCCCTGCCCCTTGACGGCAGCCCCTTGTGCTTGGCTGGGTTGTCAGGGGGCGACTGACGGGGTGTTGGGACAGCTGCCCGCATTCCATGCCTCCCCGGCGCCCACTCTGTCGTGCACAAACCAGCTGTGGGCCCCTCCTCAGGACGGAGGCCCCTTTGGCCTCTCACAGCCAACCATGGACCCCGGCCCAGCAAACACCCAGATGCATCCCCCCCTGCAACGCCCCACAAAACACTATCAATTCGCCTCTGCCGCCAACCTCACGCGCCTGTGCACAACCCAAATCGCGACTGCGACGCACCGGGAACCCACTACACAACCACGGTGCACCGGGACCCCACAATGCAACCGCAACGCACCTGCCAACCCCCCAAAACCCCAGGTTGAGGACCTGGATCTGTCCCTCCGCAAGAAGGACAAGGAGTCGGCTCTGGCCAAGCTGCCTGTGGCCCAGGCCAAGCTCAACACCGTGCTCAGCGCCGTGCTGTGAAGATCCCGCCGGCGCCTCCTCGTATTCTAGATCTGCCAACCCGAGCGGAGGGCGGCCCGGGTCTGCGCGCGCGCTTCCTGGATGTGTGTGACACACCCGGTGCCCGGCCGGCCGGCGTGCGGCCCGCGGCTGCTTGTAGCTACCCTCCTGTTTTTGTTCCGCGTGTGTGCCAACAAACACTCTTCACACACACACAAATACGCACGCGTCCACACAACCTCACCCCCGTCGCATGGGCGCCGCTGCGCTTTCCCTCATGGCGCACGCGCCCGTCACCCTGAGTCCCTTTGCCCGCGCCGCATGCACCCGGTTTTTGAGTGCCGAGAATGCTTATGTACCACAACACCCGCCTGCCTGCTTCAGTAAGCAACACAAGATGAAATCATTGTTGGTTTGCCGGTCTAAGCGATTGTTTGCAGAGGCAGGGGCGACTCTGCTGCTGATGAAAGTCCCAGGGGGGCGGCAAGTGCAGCCGTCACAAGCACTTGATGGGTGGTGTGAGGAGACGATGTGGTGGTCAAAGAAAAGTGCCCGGCAGCCGAGTAGTCAACAGGCGGCAGCTGTGATGGGTACGGTTGCCGGCACGTTGTTTCTGATGGCCGGGCGAGGGGGAGCTGGGGACTGCGGGGATGTGCAGCTGCCCGGCCTCCCGCAACATGCAGCAGCGCTGGTCTGGCGCAAACTGTAGCTTGGCGGTTTCGAAAGCCATGCCCTTGGCTCCGACGGCACAGGAGGCCTGCCTGTGCGGGATGCGCGCATATCCCCATCCCCACAAAAGCTTGCAGGCGCTCCCGCGACCCCAGCTCAAACACACACGCGCGCGCACAGACACTTAGAGGGCGTGCTATGGCCCGTCAAACTTCTGGCTTAGGCGTTGGCTGCAGACTCAGCGCATGAATATGGTTACTGTGTAGTTGCTAAAGCACCGCAGGACGCAGCGCTCAAAACAAGGCCGCGCGACAAGGCCGGGCCGTGCGCACATACATAGGAAGCGATGAGACAGGCCGGCGCTCGGCCGCCGAGAGGCAGCGGCGCGGGATGCCCTCTGCAGTCGAGGGCCGCGGGGCGCCACCGCAAGCCAGACTCAGGGGCACCGGGGAGCCCCTTGGTTGGAAGGCGGGCCTGGCAGGTCAAAACCGCGGTGACGCGGGGGCCGCTTTATATTGTGGCTGTCACATGGTTGGTCACGTGCCTGGGTATCCCTGGGTGCGTGCCGCCGCGCACCGCAAGAGCCGGCCGGGGATGGAGGGTGAGGGGGGCCGCGGCGCCCCAAGGTCGCGCGGCGCGGCAGGCGGGCGCCACCAGGGTGCGGGGCGGGCCGAGGAAGTGACGCGTGCGTTGAGAGGGTGCGGCCTGTCGTGGCGCCGCCATAGCAGCAGGCGGCCGCAGCCAACACAAACTCCCTGTCACTCCGCGCCGCCCTCGGCGGTTGCCGCCTCCTGCCCGCCGCCCTGCGGGGCCCCCTCGCCGCCCGCCTCCCCCCCATCC